CTGTCTGGGGCTCATGACCTTGGTCAGCCTGAGTGGCTCAATCATCTACCGTTTTGACCGCCGGGCCATGGACCACCATAAGAACCCCACCCGTACCCTGGACGTGGCCCTGCTGATGGGTGCCGCCCTGGGCCAGTATGCCATCTCCTACTACTCCATCGTGGCCGTGGTGGTGGGCACGCCCAGGGACTTGCTGGGGGCACTCAACTTGGCCCACGCGCTACTCATGATCGCCCAGCACACCTTCCAGAACGTGTTCATCATTGAGAGCCTCCACCGGGGGCCTCCCGGGGAGGAACCTCAGGAAGCTCCCCCCAAGGAAGCCTGCCAGGGCCTTACCTTTGCCAACCTGGATGCCCTCCACACCTTGCCAGCCGGCCCACCCACCTCCAGGCTTGTCCACCCCAGCCCAGCAGAGCCTCAGGAAGCCGTGACCATTATCTTGGCACCCAGAGGCCACTGGAGACGCCGGTGCCTAAAAGACATTTCTCTGTTTCTTCTGCTTTGCAATGTCATTGTGAGTAACTGGGAAGGGGTGAGTGGGGCAAGAGGAGGCTGAGGAAGGGTGCTCCTGCAGGCCTGTCCTGGTAGCCTTCTCTGCCTTGCCCTAGTGCTCTCAAGGCCCTTCCAGCTCTCTGGGAAAAGAGTGAGTTCAAAGAGGGCCAGCCGAAACCCTTGGGCAAACAGCATCTTGGGGCACACAGAGAGAGTACAATCCCAGCTCCTGGCCCTGAGGGGTCCCAGGGGAGGCTGACGTGGGGGTAGGGTGGAGGTGAGAGGGAACCGAGAGCCAATGTGGAAGGTGGGGGCTCTCACCACTATGTAAGAGGTGTGATTGCTCCTGGGAACTTGTGACCGGCCTGCTTCTCAGAATAATTGGAGCAGCAGCAGGAAGTAACGGAGACCAGTGTGAGGGTGAGCATTCTGTTAACGGAGTGCACTGGGAGGTTTGCTGGAAGTGGGGGGCAGCTGTCGTCTGCCCCCCACTTCCAGCAAACAATAACAGATGACAAACAATAAACAAATAACAAACAAACAGACGACAGCTCCCCCCCACCTCAGTGAGTTAGCAAAGGCAACAGACTTCACCTGGTATGGATATACTACTCCATGTTGGAAATACCTAGAGCAGAAACCCTCATACTTAAAATATACCCCAACTTGGAAACATTCCTAGCATAGCTGTAACCAATATAGAAGTTCTCCAGCAGAAATGATCTCCAGAACAGAAATCTCTAATATAGAAACACAGTCACAGGAATACAGTCAGCCCTCTGTATATCCCAGGATTTAGCCAAACCTTAGATAAAAATATTAGAAAAGTAGTTCATTTGTAGTGAATGCATACACTTTTTTCCTTATTATTTCCTTAAAATATAGTATAACTGCTATTCATATGGCATTTACATTGTGTTATACATTAGGAGTGCAATCAGTAGAGATGATTTAAATTTTTGAAATATGCAGGAGGATTGCACAGGCTAGTATTTAAATGTTATGCCATTTTATATAAACTGCTTGAACATCCTTGGATTTTGATATCCATCTGGGGCCCTAGAACAAATCCTCTGTGTATACCAAGGGGCAACTGGGCATCCCAAATAACAAACAAACTTCTAATGAAAATGGACTCAATGTAAAAATAGTCCATTAGGCTGAACTTTCCAGTAAAGGAATATCCCTAATAGAAGTACGTCCTTCATAGGGTATACCCTGGGCCTTTGGGTGTAGCTCAGTCGTAGAGCACTTGCTAGCATACATGAAGTCCTGGGTTTGTTCCCCAGCATTACGAAAAAAAAAATGTGCGTGAGAATAGCCCATGGATAGAATACCATCCACAGAGTGAATTCTCCTCCATGAAATACTAACTATGGGAAATGCACCAACAACCATCAGACACTTTCTTAGTGAAGTCCCACTATGAATAGGGCCCATCCGACAGGTCATGGCCGCATAGGTAAGGTCTGACTTCCCTTTAGGAAACTTCCAATAGTAAGTTTCACTTTTAAACAAAAATCAATGTGGTCACCAATCTTACCCTACAAGTGGAAGTGCTAAGCCCCTGAACTTCACTATGCATTATGTCTGGGACTGGCTTTGGTAACAGGGAAGTAGGCTGCATTATATCTGGGACTGGCTTTGGTAACAGGGAAGTAGGCTCCTTTGTCCCCCAACCTTCTGTCCAGATCCAGCATATAAGCTGGGAGCTTCTACTCAGGAGGGGGGTTCTTACTCCAGGTAGGTGAGCATGAATCACTCTGACAGCACCATCTTCGCCTCCTTCCTTTCACAGAACAGAACAGGCTGGGGGTGGGGGTGGCTATGAGGTATGGGGATACAGCTAGTTAGGGCAGGGGGTGGGAGTGGAGTGAGAGAGAGAGCAGCCCTTACGGAGGCTGTGGGGGGACCTTCTAGCTGGGCCCTGAACCCTCTTCCTTGTGCCTCATTGATTCTTTCGAGCTGCAGATCCAGTTGTTTGCAACAATTTCTTACATCATTTGTTGAGATTCCCATCCTACAGGTGCATAAAAAGAAGGGAGAGGTGACCACAGGCAAAGCCTGAAGCTAGGAGTGAACTTATTTAGTTGGACAAATTTCCTGTGCTCCTTAAAGAGTACCAGTCTCAGTGACGCCCAACCAACTGTGTCCACCAAACTAGCAGGCTGGGACCCTCATCCTGTCCTTGGCCATCAAAGTACACAAAGAGCTGTAGGTTTGTTTGGGGCAGCTGTCTGATGCTCCCCCTCTCCCCCCCCCCCCGCAGCTGTGGATCATGCCCGCGTTTGGGGCCCGACCCCACTTCAGCAACACTGTGGAGGTGGACTTCTACGGCTACTCCCTCTGGGCAGCCATCGTCAACATCTGCCTGCCTTTTGGTATTTTCTACCGCATGCACGCTGTCTCCAGCCTGCTGGAGGTCTATGTGCTGTCCTGAGGCCTTGGACAGAGACATGGGAGTAAGGGTCAGCTTGGCTCAGGGGCCCACTTGGTGTCCCTCTGAGAGTGAACCCATGGCTGGCAGACACTGCCACACTACTGTCATTATCCACTGGCCCCTCAGTGGAATTTTCACAAAAATTTATTTTTCCAAGATAAGTTTTTAAACCAGAATCAAAATATGCCCATCTACCCCATCATAACCCAATGGCCTGGGGTGACACGGGAAGGGAAATCCTTCCTCAAAGCTTTCCTAGGACTTGGCAAGGTCTGGAAGTACTGACTCTGGCTCTGTCTTGAACCCAGTACACTGTCTGGAACTGAGAATCAATAAAACCTCAATTCACCCCCTGTCCCCTCTTCTTGTCTCAGCGCTCCATCTGAGATGGTCACGGAGAGGAACTTGGCAATCAGAACTGGGAAGGCCCCGAGATTTTTCAGGCCTCATGCCTTTCCATGGGTGAGCTGGGTCAGCATTGCGCACTCCACATAGTGGGTAACTGGGTGGTTGGGAGTGGATGTGTTGAAATCCCAAACTGCCATTTTCCTCCAGATGACACACACAGGCATTGTTTTGTTTGTTTGTTTGTTTTAGGGTTTTTTGTTTTTGTTTTTCTTTTGAGACAGGGTCTCTCTATGCAGTTCAGGTTGGCCTTGAGCTCACTTGGTAGCCCAGGCTGGTCTTGAACTCACGACAGTCCTCCTGCCTCAGCCTCCCGAGTGCTAGGATTACAGTGTGCACCACCACACCCAGCAATGCGCACATGTTTTTGTGTATCTCATGATGTAACAAAGGTTAGGAAAGACTGACCTAGCTCAGCGTTCACAGTTTACAAAGAGACAGTCTGAAGCCCTGAGAAGTGACTTGCCCAAAGTTGCACAGCCACAGAGAGCCTAAGCCTTCAAACTGTTAAAAAAGCAACAGAGATTTTTATTAACGTATTTTAAAATTGACACAGTAATTTGTACATAATTATGAAGTCCATTGTGGCATTTTGGCCCATGCATACAATGTGTCATGATCAGATTATAGTAATTGGCATGTCCATCACCTCACATAGATCCTTTCTTTGTGTTGGGAGCATTCAAACCCCTTTCTTCACGATGTTGAAATACCTGGCAAATTGTCAACTATAGTTACCCCGCTGCACTACCAAACACTCCTTCATCCTGTCCAACTGCACCTGTAGGCACCTTAGGCATAAGCAGCAGAACTTTTTTTCCATCAGAAAATATTTCAGGAATTTCAGCAACCCGTAACATCGATACAGACACAGGATGATTGTAGTCTGAGAGAGTTTGGGGACCAGAGACTGGGAAAAGAAGCGTCACAGCTAGCCATGAGAAGAGCCTGTGGTCAGTAGGAGGAGGGGCTGGGCCAGGACCAGACCATAAGCTGGAGTGGGAGAAGATGGCATTTGGGGAACAGTACAGGTGTAGTGGCAGCTTAAGCTCAGGGGACATCAGAGGAAAACTGTCTAGACCCTTTCAGCAGCGGAAGTCTGCAGGAATCAGAGGGCACAGGGGAAGCTGAGGGGGGCAGGGGGAGCTGTGTGCCTCCCACCTGGTCCAGATGAGGCTTTAACCCTGCCACTTCAGCCCCAAGTTCTTGTTTGACTCCAGGAACAGAGAGATGACTGTCACGGTGCGTCCCTGCCTGGTGATAAGGTGCAGGAGAGACGATGCCAGACTGGAAGGTACCAGCTTGGCTGTCAGAAAAAAAGTGCGGCCTGAACCCCAGACCTCAGGCCCTTGCACCTCCATTCTACCTACTCCGAGGCAGGCTGCCAGCCCAGGGCCAGCCCATCTGCCCAAGACCCTGTCCCACCACTACCACTGCCTCCGTCTCCGCGCTCCGGCACCGCCTCCTGCCCCGCCCGCCTGTCCAGCCACCTCGCCATTGGCTGCGGCTCTGGGCCCCGAGTCCCCGCGGGGTAATTAACGAGAGATTAATGAGATTCTCAAAGTCAACAGAAAAATCGATGGGTCGTGGAGCCCGAGCGGCGGCTGCGCAGTCCCGCACGGGGGGAGGGTGTCAGGGGCATCGGTCGGGGGCACCAGAGCCTCACCTGGACGGACTGACAGACGGCGCTGCGCTTGGTCAGCCCGCGGCGATGCCCTCCCAGGGCTCAGGTAAGGCTTCCAGCGCCACCGCTCGGACCCAGAGCGCCCTCGGACCACACGGAAAACTTTCCCGCGAGCACACACACACACACACACACACTGCTTCCAAAGCAAGGTTCAGGAGCTAAGGGACTAGGCCCCGACACTGGATGGCCTGCAGGAGGTCAACTCCTTTAGTCCGGTGCCTGGACCCTCCTCCGCCCCACCCCAACTTGGCCTCTGAGCTCACCTGCGGAGGTGCACGCCCTGCCTCTGCCGGATCCACACAGCTGAAAGGGGGCGTCTAGCTGGAGAAGAAGCGCGAAACCTGGATGCCTGGTGACCCGGGTAGGTAGCTGGGGCTGCCCGTAAGCCGGGCCCGGTCCTGGAGTCCCTCGGGTATCTCGGGAAGGAGTCCTGAAGCTGCTCTGCCCTAGTTTAGCAGCCTCTGGCCGGGCTAGTTCTGGGCTCCTGGACCCGCCCTGCGCCCCGACGGCTCCTCGGCTTTCATCGCCCGCCTTCAACCTCATGCATAAACCAGTTTGTGTCCCGGCCTTCCCTTAGGCTGGCGACACGCGGTGGGGCGTGCCAGGGGGAGGCAGACTCCTAGTCCCTGTCCTGCGCATTCTCTCCTACAGCCCTGGCGTCCCCACTCAGACTCCAGTCCTGCAGTGAACCTAATTCATCCCTTTGGTAGCTCCCTTTAGCGCTTCTGGAGGGTTGAAACTGGAGGTGGAAAGGTCAGCAAAACGATCAGAGAGGAATGAGAGGACCTGAACCGTGCTTGCTTCAGCGTCTCCTCTAGGCCTGCAGTCTGCCAAGGTCGTCCCTGAAGTTCACCAATAACCCCTACCCTTCCCTCCTCTCCAGGACCTCTTAAAATCTCTAGGGAAAAAATACACAAATAGCCAACACGGGCTGCTCTACACAGTTGTGTGTGTTAAATCATATAAATCTGACAAGACTCTGCGAGGCAAGTATCCTGCTCAAATTTCTTCCTTTATTTGTTCAAGAAATTACCAAGTGTTTCCTACTACTTGGGACTATACTATTCCATAGTTGCATGTTTGTTTACAGCACTGAGGCATACAGTCTAAGTAGCTTGCCACAAAAGTACTGTGTTACAGTATGCCCTGGAACCAGGTCTCTTAACCTTTAGAGCAGCCTGCTTGGGAGGTGGGGCAGGGGAGGTTCTGGGGAAGATGAGGTGGAGCCACCAGGCTGGCAGAAAAGGAGCAAGGAGGTGTCCTCTGAGCTTCAGCTTAACTCAGTCTGGGCAAGCAAGCCTGGAACGAAAAGCTAGAGATCTCCTGGAGAGCTTGTTCAACTGCCACGGGATGGAATGGGTTAATAGGAAGGGTCTCTGTCCACCACTCTGGTGCTGAAAGTTCCTTGGAAACCAGAAACCCATGAAAAAACCTAAGGAGAGTACTGCCCAGTTTATGCTAGGTTGGGGGGTAGGGGGTCCCAGTTAAGCAGGACCACAGTTCTGTTCTAGAGGAGCTCCTGACCTTGAGAGGAGCCAGCCACACCCAGAGTACGCCTGATAGCACACACCCACTCTTAACAGAGAGGTATGGCCCCAGCAAAATAGCTACCAGCATGCTTCATGCCTTGGCAGAGAGGAAAGCCTTCCCAGGTAGTGAAGGGGATGGCAAGGGTTATTGGAGGGGTAAGAGACGATGGCAGACATAGAAGAGAAAGCAAGGCTAGCAGGAGCCAGGAGGCCACAGGGGAAATGTAGAGCCCTCTCATGAGGCTGGACAGGTGTGAGAGGCAGGTGCCCAGATTGTTGCCAGGGGTCTGATGTGGCATTTGCCCTTGGGTGGCAAATAGAGTGGGAAATGAGTGAAAATTATTTATAAAATCTCAAAAAGATGCCCAAGGTTTAATACTCCATTTGCTCCAGGAGAATAATAAAAGGTGCAAATATTGCCCAGGATAAACATGAGAGAATAGGAGGTACAGAGAGGACCCTTAAGAGTCCTCTGTGACACTGGGTTTCTGGTAGTTGCATGGAGGAAAAGTCCAAAGCTCAGGGTCTTGAGGGAGGGAAAGAGCAAGACCCAGCTAATTAAGATAGAGCCTGCTGTGTGACACAACAGTGATGAGGGTAGGTGAGGACCAAGGGGTGACCCTCACCCAGCCTGGGAAGGGGAGTTTAGGAAGGTCACTAAGTCTCTGATGAATCCTTATGAGCATCTGGTGAGTCCTGAAGGACACATATAGTCATCAAGGGACAAGAGGGGTGGACATTCATGTCAAAAGTTGGGGTGTGGGCAAAGGCAGGTAAGTGAGCAAAAGCAGAGGGCATTCTGGGGGTTGCAACAGGATGGCACAACCAAGGGAGAGGAGTGGAGGTTGGATATCGCACTGTGGAGGTAAATCAAGACCAGGCCAGGAAGCAGCAGCAGCCACCCTGCCCTGAGTGCTGTGTGGACCAGGCCCCTACATACACATCCATTTTGCTTCATTCTGAAAGGTCACAGATTACACAGTAGGTGCATTGATATGGAGGGTAGCCAGTTGTCTTCGCAGAGCTCTCAGGAGGAAATGAGCATTGTAGGCAGGGAGTCCAATCCAGGAGAGAGTGGAAGGAGTCCTGACCATGGTTGTGGCTGGGGTTGAAGAGATCTAAGAGCAGTTTGGGAGCTAGAATGGACAGGCTTGGGCCTGAGGGAATGCAATGGATAAATGCAAAGTTGAGCAGGATGCCTGGGTCTCTGCCTAGAGAATGGATGGGTGAGCACTCAGAACCTCTATCCCTAGGGAGGCAGGAACTCTCAGGGGAACCTCTCCTGCAGAACAGCACACAGAAGCAGTGCAGTCCTGGTATCCCCTGCAGCTCAATTCTGCTGGGAAGGGAGAGTGGCCAAAGGGGCCCAGACAGGACAGCATGCTCTACTCAAAGCTGCAGATGTAGGGTGACTCCAGATCTGGCCCAAGCAAGTGACAAAGTAGTTGGCCTAAGTGAAAGCTTGGGGGAAATAAGGAGTGGCAAGACATATTCAGGTAGAGAAGGGGGTCAAGGATAGTGTCACCCTGCTGTGCTGACCCTTCATGGGACAGCTGGGGATAGGGACAAATGGAAGTCAGGTCTGTTAAGGTAGAAGGTGTTCCATTAACAGGGACCCCAACCTGCCTGATACACTTTGCAAATCAATCCCTGCACTTTCACTTCTAGCATTTAATATGCCTTAAATTTTATTTTAATTGCATAAACAAGACTATTTAAAAAAAAAAAACAGAAGAGTAAACCTAAAAAGAATCTACTGCTCCCAGCCCAACCCCCACCCATTTCCCTGAAGAAACCACCATTGTAAATCCAGTAGGTACCTTCTAGACCCTTCTAAAGTAATCACATAGACACCTTATGTAGTTATAATAGAGACCACAGCATTCTTCCCTGCCAAGCCCAGACTCAGTCTCAGAATCCTGCTCAGCACACCATAGAAGACACAACATGACGGCCCCAATTTCCAGAGTGGAATTCCTCCCAGAAGTCAACAGGGTTCTAGCTGCCTTTTGTCCATGAAAAGTCCCGGTTGCCAGGCATTAGCAGATGCCTGTGACTCCACTGGCTGACACGACATTGTTATCCCACCTTGGGATTAGGCACTGGGTCATTAGCAAGTGGGGTGGCCCAACTGGGAGTGGATGGCTCATGTGGTCCTGAAGTACCAAAAAAAAAAAAAAAAAAAAAAGACAAAAAAATTTAGGGGCCAGGGAGATGACTCAGTAGAATAAGTGCTTCCCTGCTAAGCACAAGGGCCTGAGTTCAATCCCTGGTTCCACAAAAAAAAAAAAAAAAAAAAAAAAAAAAGACGTGGTCCTGAAGTCAGTCAAATCAATTACTTATGTCCATGTGCCGCTTAAAGGGTTGCACTATCTCTTTGTTAGTTTGAACTGTCTTGGGACCTGTAAGGTAAATGGGGTGGGTGATGTTACTCCCAGAACCCCAAGCAGACACATTATCATGCGTACCTCAGGTTATACCGCTGCAGGGGGCAAGGTAGACCCGAACCCATGTCAACCTGACCGATATCCATAGGCTTTTTTTCTCTTTCCAGCCCCTGCTGAGGCTCCACCCATGGCCTCTCTAGAAGCACAAGACACTGAAGCAACTCCAGCCAAGGAGGACCAAATGGATTCAGGGGCCAAGGAGATGGGGTACCCAGGCCCACCAAGGCAGCAGTCCTGGCTAGGACGCCATTGGTCCCTGCTGCTGCGGCGGGACCGACAGGCACAGAAGGCTGGGCAGCTCTTCTCGGGGCTCCTGGCCCTCAACGTGGTATTTCTGGGTGGGGCCTTCATTGGCAGCATGATCTTCAACAATGTGTCCATCACCCTGGGTGATGTGTGGATCCTGCTGGCTGCACTGAAGGTACTGGCCCTGCTCTGGCTCCTGTACTATATAGTGGGCACCACACGGTGGCCCCAGGCAGTGCTCCACCGCGACCCTCATGCGGGACCCGTCTGGGTGCGGGGTGAGTACCAGAGTGCCAGATGGAGGGAGGGGACGGGGAGGGACAGCTGGCTCCAAGGCAGGTGCCAATACCTGTCTGGCCCAGCCAGGCTCCCTGGTGCTCTTTGGCAGCTGCACCATCTGCCTCAATGTCTTCCGCATCGGCTATGACGTGAGCCATAGCCACTGCAAGTCACAGCTGGAGCTTGTCTTCCCGGCCATCGAGATCGTCTTCATGGGCTTCCAGGTGACGGGCCATCTTTGTGCCACCAGGGTCATGCTCTTCCTACCCAGGCCACATGCACACACATCCCCACTTGTGCCAGAACCAGCCATAAGGCAGTGGCTCTGTGTCCTGGGATATAGACACACATGGGGCCCCACACAGCTGTTCACCTCCATGTGCCCACACCTACACACTCCTGAGTGTACCTGCATCAACACACACCACACACTGTGATTCCCAAATGTACATACCTATAAACCTTTCCACCTGAGCACATAGCTGAATATGCACTAGACATATAGCTGATATACACAGCAGATAAGCACCCCTCCTCTTGGTAGTAATGTCCGATTCTCTCTGGGGCTTTTGCTATGCACCAGGCTGGCTGGTGTCAGGTGCTATATTTACATGACTTTCTTTCTTGCCACCACCAAATAAGCATTTCCCCAAGCGGTGGGCACTTTGATCCCTTGTCAGAGCTGAGACCACTCAAAATTCAGAGCCATCTTGCCACTCACCCAATATCACACAGCGCAGAAATTTAGGAGCTAGAATTCCCACCTGCTCCATCACCATCTTTTCCACTATAAATATACAAGCAATACCCACCATCCCCACAAGACCCTGGGCTCAAAGCCCTGTTTCTTTCAGACCTGGGTGCTCTGGAAACATTGTAAGGACTGCGTTCAAGTCCAGACCAACCTCACTAGGTAAGTCTTCTCTACCTCCAGAACTTCCTGGGGTTCTCAGTGTCCCCAAAGCTTCCCTACACAGGGAGTCTTGGGGCTTTGGGTTGGTCTGGGATTCATCTCAGTGGCCGCTAGGGCAGCCTCACCTGAAGCCCTAATGCCACATGGGGTTTGGCTTGGGGACCAAATGGTCATCCTGACAGCAGTCAAGGGTGAGGAGCAGGCACCCAGGGAGCCAACCAGGCCACCTGAGCAGAGCATGGCCCCTCTCTCCAGGTGTGGCTTGATGCTGACCCTGGCCACAAACCTGCTGCTGTGGGTTCTGGCTGTGACCAATGACTCCATGCACCATGAGATCGAGGCTGAGCTCAACGCCATGATGGAGAAGTTCTCAGGTACAGAGGAGGACCAGCCCTCCCCCAACACACACACACACCACACCACACCACTACACTACAATACTCTGCTGCCTCAGGCTGGTGAGGTCCAGGAAGTTACAGAGTTCTGAGCCAACATAAAACAGCAGTTTATCCGCTGTATGTTTTTCACAAGAGACTGGGGCCTCACACCCCTGCTCCCAGCAGCCCTTCTCCCAGCAGCCCTGCTCCCAGCAGCCCTGTTCCCAGCAGCCCTGCTCCCAGCAGCCCTGGCTGCCAGCAAGCTAACCATTAATCCTGGTTGAGCTCGTCACTGAGAAGTCCTTTCGGTATGCGCCCCACCTGTGCTATTTGTATTTTACTTGTAAGAAACTCAGAAGCCTTCAGGGCTAAAAGGAATGTTTCTCTAATACAAAATTAGGCATACCTAGGCAGATCAGGCAGAGCAGAAGCTTAGCAGGCAGAAAAAGCTGTCAAGATTGCTCCATATGACTGATTCTCTGCCTGTGTGTGAGGGAGAAGCTACAGCTCAGAAGGCCACCTGGGAACCTTCTGATCTGGGGGACTCAGCCCTACCCATGTCTGCTCCCCACCCCACCCTCCCAGCTAAGCCCTCCCAGCACACAACGCATCAGCACACCCATTCCATAAATCATGGAGTACCTGTGTGCTCTGGGCACTCCTTAAGCTGTTTCCTTTTTTAAAAAAGCTTTTTAAAGGGAACTGGGGACAAGTGATGTCATGTTTTTTTTTTAAAATTAAAAAACTCAAATGTACAGATGAGTTGAAGAATGGAATATAGCTGTAACAAAGATTAACCTTTCACCACATTTATTTTAATTTCTTGCCAAGTAAATTTCAGAAATCCTGGCATTTAACCTCAAAATATTTCAGCACACATCTCTTTAAAAATAAGGGTTGTCAGGAGTAGTGGCATGTACCTGTAATCCCAGCACTGAAGGGGCTGAGGTAGGAGGATTACCACAAGTTCAAGGCTGTCCTGGCTACCTAGTGAGTTCAAGGCCAGCCTGAACTACATAGCAAGAACCGGTCTCAAAAAAAGAAAGCAGACAAATGAAAATGTGTCATTTCCTACATGACCACATGCTATTTTAATTGCCAACAAATTTCTTTAGCATCACTCCAATCCTCGCTATCCATCTATAGTCCACTTTCTCAGTTAGTCCAAGAAATGTCCTTTGCACGTGGCTGGTTCACACATGCTGCACTTTTTTTGAGGCAATCACATCTCTTTTTCCCTACTGACAGGGAGATTCATCCAGTTGCTTCCTAGTGGTAGCACTGAATTTGTGCCTCTGTCCCATTCTTCCTAGAAATTGAGACCAAGGGCCAAAGTCTCGATTAGATTCAGTTCAGAGATTTCGGTACCTGCATTTCCCTGGTGATGTCATGTACTTTAAAGTCAGCTGGTTGAAAGGCACTGTGGTCTCACTACCCCAGTGTGTGCTGCTGAGGCCCGCCACTGTGCTCAGGTGTGGGAGCCAGATCCTCCACAGCATGTAATAGGTGTGCCCTGCCCAGCAAGTGATTTGTGGCGGTGACATTTGGTGCCAGGGACACCATGTTTTAACTGCTTTATATAACCTTGTTACCTGAAGTCTTCAACCCCTTCGTAAAAGAATGAGCATTCTGTGATTTCCAGTTTCTGTAATAGCTCCCCCCCTCATGTTTCCACATCTATAAAATGAGCAGCTGGCTTGATCCCTCCCAACTTTCGGAAGTTTGGGCTTGGGGTGGGGTGAGGGTGGTTGGCACCACCAGTTTTCTCAGAACAGGGCGCACCTAAAGTGGCCTCCTGCTCTGTCCCCTCCCAGGCAACGAGACCAACACCTGCCTGTGCCTCAATGCCACGGTGTGTGAGGTCTTCCGGAAGGGCTACCTGATGCTCTATCCCTTCAGCACTGAGTACTGCCTCATCTGCTGTGCTGTGCTCTTCGTCATGTGGAAGAATGTGGGCCGCCGCCTGGCAGCCCACGCAGGCCCGCACCCCAGCTCCCCACCCTTCCGCCTACACGGGGCCATCTTCGGGCCACTGATGGGCCTGCTAGTGCTGGTGGCAGGCCTGTGCGTCTTTGTGCTCTTCCAGATCGAGGCAAGTGGCCCCAACATTGCCCGCCAGTACTTCACCCTCTACTATGCCTTCTACGTGGCCGCGCTGCCGGCCATGAGCCTGGCATGCCTGGTGGGCACGGCTATCCATGGGCTCGAGGAGCGTGAGCTGGACACACTCAAGAACCCTACCCGCAGCCTGGACGTGGTACTGCTGATGGGTGCTGCACTCGGCCAGATGGGCATCGCCTACTTCTCCATCGTAGCCATTGTGGCCACTCGCCCCAATGAGCTGCTCAACCAGCTCATCCTGGCCTACTCGCTGCTGCTCATCCTGCAGCACATCACCCAGAACCTCTTCATCATCGAGGGCCTGCACCGACGCCCGCTGTGGGAGGTGGCTCCCCGGAGCCTGGAGGAGAAGGAGGCTGAGCACTCCCGTAGGGGCTCCCTGCTGGAGCTGGGCCAGGACCTGCGGAGGGCCTCACGGGCCTACATCCACTCCTACAACCATCTCAACTGGAAGCGGCGCATCCTCAAGGAAATCTCGCTCTTCCTCATCCTCTGCAATATCACAGTAAGTGGTGGGTCCTGGGCCCTACGGGCAGGGGTGCCAGCTGGGCCTGGGACCCTCACTCAGGGAGGAATGGGTCAAGGTCATGGGCCTCTTCCCAGCTAGCTGGATGCTGCTTGAGAGCAAGAAGTGGCCCCCTCGAGCTGCCTGGCATGAATGAATGTGCCAAGCACATAGCTGAGTGCTCTTCCCAAACAATAAGATTTCTAGGGCCAGCAAGATAGCTTAGTGGACTAAGCACCTGCTTAGGCAAGCTCAGGGACTGGGGTTCAATCCCTGGCATTACATGCCATGTCCCTAGGCAAACTGAGCCAGCCACTGAGACTGGGTGTAGTGGCGCACACCTGTAATCCCAGCACTGGGGAAGCTGAGACAGGAGGATCACTATGGGTCCGAGCTGTGTAGTGAGACCCTGTACCAAATACACAAATAATAATAATAATAATAATAATAATAATGATGATTTCTACCCACTCTCCAGAAGCTCAGAAAACACCAAGGGCCAATTACAGAATTACCACTGAATTTGATAAGATCAGAAGGTGCCTAGCTCTCTAAAATAGCCTAGTGAAAGATGGCGATCAGTAGCTTCTGGTGGCTGCTAAGTCCCAGGCCCACCTCTCAGAACAATGTCTCATGAAGCCATCATAGTAATCCAGAACAAGAGGCATTATCCTCACTGCGCAGATGAGGAAGCTGAGGCTTAGGAGTTGTCTGGCCCCTTGTTCTCCAGCCTGTAAATAGTAGTGTTGGCACAACTCCGTTGCTTGACTCTAAACCTGTAATGCATTAAAAACACACCCTACATGTGAAACTCTACACCCAGGCAGAGGAGTCATGAATTGGTCTAAAGCGCACTAGGAGCTCGGAGAAGTGTGAACACATCAGGAGGGTTTGACCTGGACCCACAAGATGACAGGATTTGGAGAAGAAGGTGACAGGGGACAGGGTGAGGCTGTAACTAGAAGGAGACTGAAGCCTGAGCTTAGAGCCCAGGGGAGCCCAGCTTGGCAGAGCAGCTTGCTGGATGGGAATTCTTGCCATGCACCATGTGTGGAGGCAACGTGGGGGCCTCCTGCTCCATCTGGAGCTCAGGCTGTCCCAGGCGCAGCAGGAAGGCGGTCGAGGCTTCTGCAGAGCAGAGCACAGAAGACAGGAGCAGAGAGGAGCTTGCCCTGAAGCCCAAGATGATGGGGTGGGAGTGCTGCTGGAGGATCATAGGTTCTGGGCCCAGCCTCCCCTGAGCCGAGTGTCTTGGGGCAGGAGCCAGCACCTTCCCTACTCACCCCTTCTCTCCTGCCCCACAGCTGTGGATGATGCCTGCATTTGGCATTCACCCAGAGTTTGAAAATGGCCTGGAGAAGGAATTCTACGGCTACCGAACATGGTTCACCATTGTCAACTTTGGCCTGCCTCTGGGAGTCTTCTACCGCATGCACTCTGTTGGGGGGCTAGTAGAGGTCTACTTGGGGGCCTGAGATTTCCAAGAAACCCACTCTCAGCAGAACCTTACAGGGCCAAGGCAGGAGAGATGGTAGCCCAAGTCTCTGGGAAGATCGCTCATTCCAAGAGGTACAGAGGCCCCCAAAGCCTTCTGCTTCCTGAGAGAAGAGGGCACTGCCAGTAGCCCAAGCCCAAGGCCAGGACCTGGACACAGTTTTGGATGGCCACTCCCAGGGCTGGCACATGCCTGCCTCCTGCCTCACCACCACAATGCATACAGCACAGGCTATACCTCAGGAAGCTGCTGAGGACCCCCACCACTACTCTCAGGGAGAGTCAGATCTAGACAATGGAATCCAGGGGTACGGGAGGGGACACCCTTCCCCAGCCAGGCCTCAAGGCCTGCCTCCTCCTATGAGGGCCATGTAGGCCAAGCTTGGCCCAGAACATCCAGGGAGATCAGAGGTCCAGCTCAAAGCTCTGCAGGCAGCCCTGCCCCTCTCTCCCCACACACCCAGCCTTCTAATGAGCTCATTAATTAGCTGCCAGGCGGGGCTCAACAGCTCTTTCTTGCTACCATAAACACTGTTTGTTTGATCGATTGCATTCAGGCTTCATGGCATTTGTTCCCAGCAATAGATCTGACACTCCAGGCATGGTGGGAAGAATGGTTGTTCCGGGCAGGGCTGTGGTGTGGGACAGTCTCGTTCCTGGGTCAGGAAGGGTCTAAACCAATCCTTTGATCCATGAGACACAGTGGGAAGAGATGGGCTGGGCTCCTGTAGGCCTCACCTCCACCCCCCAATGCCACCCTTTCTCTGGGGCAGAGCCTGGAGGGACTTTGCGTGACTGGCTCAGCATGGTGGGAAAGCTCAGGCCTGGTGATCTTCTGAGCCCTGGGGTGGAGCAGGAAGGTGACAAGGCAGCCACTGACAGCCCATCCATCTCCTTGAGCCCAGTGCAAACAGCAGCCGTGCCAAGGTGAGGCCCGGGGAGCACAGACCTGTCTCCTGCTCCCATGATGCCCAGGGCCCCCACCACTGCTTCAGTGGCCACTGGGGACATTCACGGGGCTGACGGCCAGGCCCTGGACCTCTCCCACATGGGCTTGTCTCTGGTGACAGGACCCTATATTGCCTTTGCCCTCAAGAAAATGACACATTTCTGTCACCAGTTATGCATAAATATGCTCGGGGAACTAACTCTAGGGTACAGAGTCCCCAGCTACCCTGCAGATGAGAGCCATGGCTTGATATCTCGACCCACATCCCAAGCACAGAGGCAGCACATGAAGAGGGAAGTTTATTGTGTAAAGTGACCGATTGTACAGAGCAAAGATTGTACTGACACAGGTGGGGTGAGGAGACCCAGGGGCCAGGGCTGGGCAGATGGAGCGGGGGCGACCTTCATCCCCTCAGCCAGGCAGTGCATGAGCAGGAGCAGCTGCCCCCCGGGGCCTGTCATCATCCAGGCTCTATCCATTGGCCCTGGATGCCCCCTCTAACAACTAGAAGACATGAGACCCCTCCGGTCTGCTATCCGCCAGTACCCAGCCTCCCCCAGCAGCCAGGCCACACTCCTACTCATGGAGCTAGAAGAGGCAGCTTCAGGCCAAGAGGCCCCCAACCCTGCCCCGATGCCTCAAGGGCCATCCTCTGGTTCCTGCTGGGGGCAAACTCTTTCCGACCCAATGACCTGGTGGCTTCTTAGGGTGGGCAACAGAGGAGCAGGTGGGACGGGTGGGGATCATCACAGAAATGCGTCCTGAAAAGGGAGCCAGAGGGGGCTGGGGGCTCTGGCAGGGCCTGCATCCCTGAAGACAAGGCTCCTGGGAGGCCAGTCTGGAGGGTTTAGGATGCAAGGTCTCCATTATCTCCAGCCACAAGGGGTCTCTGTGACCTGCCACCCAGGACCCAGTCACACTGCCCCAGCCCCCGATGATACTCATGGAAAGCTCAGAACAGAGTCAGGGGGCATTGGAAAGCAGAGCCCAGCCATCCCCAGCCCCTGCTGGCTTCCTGCTCACACCCGCTGGATCTCAAAGAGCTTGACATCAGTGTCATACCAGATGGGTGGGTCCACATTCCTGCAGAGGGAGCAGAAAAGGTCCAGGGGAGGAGCTGGGTGGTAGCAAAGCCCCAATCAACCCCTCCCATCTCGATGTCCCAACCTTGGCAGTGGGTGCCCAAGCTCCATCGGGCAGGACCACCTTGATTGACTCCTTTGACATTCAATCCATTAGGGATGCAGGAGAGGCACAGCCGAGGTCCCCGCTGAGCCCAGCCCCACCCGGACAGTCACCATCCACCCCCATGAAGCCTACCTCAAATAGATGACACCCCACATGTAGGTGCGGAACCACATGGCAGTGCCTGAGTTGGCCTGGTACTTGCGGATGAGAATGGGGTGCGGCACAGGCAGCAGCCCCACCAGGGTGCCATGCTGCAGGAATCTCAGGATCTCCGACTCATCTGTCAGGCCCCTGTGGGAAATGGAGGTCCCCAGAGTCCCTGTCACCTCCCACCCGAGCCCAGCTAGCCTGCGCCCCGAAGCAGTGCCCAGCCCAGGCTTACTTGTCAATACAGATCTTCTCCACCTGGGGCACCAGCACCTGCAGCAGCCGCATGATAGTCTGCAGGGGCAGCTTGGACTTCCAGGAGAGGATCTGGGGAGGGAGCCCCCCAGGTTATGGGGCAGTTCTCGCCTTGACGCAGGGCCAGGGGCTCTGCATAGCTTGGCCTGCACCCAGCAGAACCGGAACATCTGCTGGTGCTGTTGGGGAGGGCCCCAGGTGCCTTGCGCCAGTCACAGGCCCACGCACCTTGAGAAGACTGTCCCTATGACTATCCACAAGGGCATGATCAGTAGGATGTTATATCCCTGTCCCAGTGCAACTGGGAAACAGGCAGAGGGTGGCAATTCAGGGATGGAAACCAGAAAGAGTGATTTATTAGGGAAGCCAGTGCTGTGGGCAGCTGGAATTCGGTGCTTCCAGGGGACTAGGTAGATCGTGCAGACAGAAAAGCTGATCTGAGGGACTGGTGAGATGGCTCAGTGGTCTAAAGCACCTACTAAGAACAAGCTTAGCAAAGCACAGGGACCACCGTTCAATCCCCCAGCACCACATGCCAGCCAGCCCCGCCCCCTGGTGGGCTGAGCTGGCCACACACACACACACACACACACACACAAAAAAAAAAAAATAAAAAAAAAAAAAAAGAAAAGAAAAGAAAGAAAGAAAAGAAAAGCTGATCTGAGACAGGCCACACATGGGAAGGAATGTCGCCCAGATGGAAGGGCTGGCCTGGAGCTGGGCTCTCGTTCCAGATGCCTCTGCTAGGATATACCACCAGCCCCATGTGTACCGGCTGAGCAGTTCCTAGGGCTGGGCAGCTGGACCCAGGCCCACCTCGGTGTCCTCACCCCTCGCTCCTCCAGGGTGGGGTCCTCACCCAGTCTGTTGTTGGGATCCACTGGCCACTGACTGATGCACTGGATAGTCGTCGTTGTTCCCTCCACACCTGGCCAGGCTCCTGGTACCCAGAAAGGAAGAGGAAGGAGGAGGGAGTAGGGGCAGGGGCAGAGGGCAGTGAGGTCTCACCACTGCCCCCCATGGGAGAGACTCGCTTCCAACACAGAGACAGGCCCAGCCCAGCACCCTTTGCCCTGGGCCCCAGGCCCAGCCCGACACAGCCCAGTGACAGGTTTAGGGCCAGGGCTGGACAGGGCAAGCCGGGTAAAGGCCAGCCTCAGATAAGGCTGATGGATGAGGAGGCTGAAGGCCACAGGCTTTACTGCACCCCATAAACAAGGGAGTGAACCACCCACCCCATAGCAGTGCCAACCCTGATGTCCTGGGCTCTGGCCTGTCCTTCTGCTAGAAGTGACCTCAGAGTATCCTAGCCCAGCCCCAGAGGGCAGTGAGGTCTCGCCACTGCCCCCCATGGGAGAGACTCGCTTCCAACACAGGGACAGGCCCAGCCCAGCACCCTTTGTGCCAGCCCCTGTTGCAGAGGCCAGGGAGGAAGGCAAGACCCTGCCTCTTGCACCCCATGTCCCATTACCCACCCCCTCCGCCAGGCTGTCTTCTGCCAAGTTCTGCTGGGGCTCAGGCTCCAGGGACCGCAAAGTGCCATCTTCAGACACCTGGGACTTCTCCGTCAGCTTGTCAATGCCTGGGTGAGGCACAGGAGGGCCATGGGTAGTAAGGGGACCATGGCCTAGTCCTGCTGGCCTGGCCTGTCCCCCATCCACTATGGAAGCACTGCATCCCACCTCCCACACCCCAGTCCTGTACCCACCTGTCTCAGAGCCCCAAGGCTGTGTCCCCAGCAAGCTCCCATTCCTGGGTCCCCAGTACCACCACCCCTGTTGCTCTGGCAAGTCCCCAATACAGGCCATTTGCTTGCAAAAAAAAGGTGCCACCTCAGACCCCACACTGGTGCCCCAGCTGTGTGCCAGAAGCCACATTCCCCTCCCGCCCGCCTGCCTGCCAGTGCCAAACCTGGGGTGGCCACCAGGCTGGTCTTGAGGGTGCCTGGCTCCGCAGGAGCGGCAGGGCGGGAGCCCTCCATGGAGCTGCCCTCCTGGGAGCCGGTGCGGGACAGGGGCTCTGGGGTCCGCCGGCGCCGCTGCAGGGCCTTATGGATGGCCGGTGGGTCAGTGGGCAGATTGGCCAGCTGGTGGAAAACGCTGCGCTTACGGATGATGGCATACACCAGGTTGGAGTTGCCTGTGGGAGGGAGCACACTTCCACTCAGGGGTCCCTCACCTCCCCCAACTCCGGGCTGGCCTCCTGCAGGACATGAAGGTGTCACCCCCAGGGGAAGAGATGATTGAGAGAGTGCAGGAGAGGGAGCCGGGAAGGGAAGGCACAGAGGTGCGTGCCAACAGCTTCGGGCCCAACGGCCCCTTTCCTCAAGAACCCACAACCCTGCCCTGGGAATGGCAGCACTTGAGGCAAGAGAATTATTACCAGGAGTCTGAGGCCTGCCTGGGCTACACCGTGAGTTCAAGCCCAGCCTGAACTATGTAGCAAGGCTTTCTCTCAAAAACAAAAGCAAAACAAGCAAACAGACCTCCCAACTCAGCACTCAAGGAGCTGGGCATGGCAACACTGCCTGGAGACTGAGGCAGGAGGATCAGAGGTTCAAGTTCAGCCTGGACAATTTAATGGCTGAAACCCTGGCTCAAATTTTCTAAATTAATTAATTAATTAA